TGTAGGCGTGTAGTTCAGTTGTGAGCACGCAAACGTGCTGCAGGGATTGCAGGTGTACCTCCTCGGGCTTGTGTACCCTTTTCTTGCTATTAGTGTGTGTGTTCTTTAGATCCTCTGATTCTGATGGCTTTAGCATTTTTGTGACCACGGACCGAGTCTTTGCTAGATTTTGGGAATAGCAACTGACACGAAGAAAAACAACAACTGTTTCAAGACAAGCATGGGGTACCTAGGCTACCTCGACTTTCGGAGTCTGCATTGTGAAATGACTTGGGTGGACCTGTCTGGTCTTGGAGAAAATTGCAGCTGTCATCAGGATGTCTGCAGGTCACCCATGTCTTTTGGAAAGGTCGAGGTACAGTCGACCCCGCTTTAAGGACGCTCGCGTTAAATGAACTCCCCGCTTCTAGGGGAAACCATTTTTCTGAGCACCAGGGGGCCCGGCAGAATGTACGAGAACAGGGTACCCTCCTGTTTTCTGCCGCGTACCCCCCCCTATTTGTGTCCTGCGGGCCGCTCTTTGCAGCCACCACGCACCACATTGAGTGCAGAAGTAGCGACGCACAGACAGCAGAAGTAGCGAGCGGTCTGCTGCTGCAGCTATAACTGGGTGTTGGTATGGATAGATTGCTCCCATCTACCGGCGGCCCATCTGATGCCGCCAAAAAAAAAGTCGTGCGTAACCTCGTTCGTCCTGCACCGAGGGCGAGATTATCTCTCGCTTGGAGGGCGTTCGATCCTCTTTGTACGCGAAGGGAAGGGAGGGGTGGAGAGTACCGTGAGACGCAGTACCTTCTTTCGAAGACCGTTCATTCGTTTTCTCATGAAACTCAACAGAGCCGTAGAGCCAAGCCGCGGGGAGAGGTTCAGGGAACGCTTCGCGATAGGTGGAGGGGAAAGCCGTCAGGGTAGCTTTTGGTCTCCGCCGGGACAGTTATATGTACTGGTGTTCCTCGGTGCGACGCTGAAATACGCTCGTTTTCTTCTAGTTTCACAAGAATGAGATAAATATGCCGTAAACGTCGGAGTTTCCCCCAGGGGAGAGGATCCTTTTTTTTCTGACACCAAACCCCTCTGGGGGACAATGACGTACCGGGGGGGGGGGGAGTTT